AAAATTATCAGCGGCAACAAAAAAAGAAACCTAAAACACTTAGACTAAAACACTTGAGACCAACAAATCTAAATCTATATATATGGGTTTAGCCATTTAGGAAACTAAATTAGTACGTAAGTTTATTAAATACGGAGGGAACATTCTATTGTAACCATGTTAATCGTTTCATCAGAGTTTTCAACACCTCATGGTTTCAGATTTCTACCCACCAAAGAAGAAATTTTCGTCTATTACCTTCGACCAGCCATCAATGGAGAGCCATTATCTTGTAATATTTTGATTGAGGGTAAGATTTATGGAGAAAACAAAGAGCCTTGGAATTTTTTCAACAAAGATGAAAATAAATCTTTCTGGGTTTTCACCAAGTTGAAGAAGAAAGAGTAAATCGAGGATTGATAGGACCGCTGGATGAGGATGTTGGCTTGGCCGAAGCACCAAAGAAGTAAATAATGCAAGTGGTCAGCTGTTAGGTTTCGACAAATACTTCACGCTTACATGCAAGAAAGATAAGTCAAGCCAAAGCAATGGCAACTGGACTATGCATGAGTATTCTTTAATGGATGAGGGTTTCAGTGATTACGTCATTTGTGAGATTAAGAATGAAGATGTTGCTGATCGTGGAGAAGACGAAGAAGAACCCAAGAACAAGAAGCGTTAATCGCTTGAGGTTAACGATGAAGAGGCGTCAGCTCCAACTATGAAGAAAGGAAAAGGGATGCAGACCATGACTAGTACCAGCTTTCCTGATTTTGCTGGTCACTTCAGTCCTGAAGAGCTTACGGGTGAAGATGCCGACGCATTCCTGAACCTGGACGTGGAAGCCTTCATGAATGGGCTTAATCTTGATGAACTTCTATCATTAATTTAATTAAAGCCAGAGTTGCATTCAGATTTTCCGGTGATTTATTAGATAACAAAGCTAGTGATGACCAGTAGTCCTTAAGTTTATGTAAACAAACTTCAGACACAAAACTATGTACCCATTTATCTAATAGTGGATGGCCTTTTCTCTGCCCGTGGTTTTTTCCCTTCCAACACTCGGAAAGGTTTTTCCACGTAAAATCTGATGCCTCTCTGTTCTTTGCTTGCTTCTTTAATTTTTTGAATGGTTTGGTTGATTTGTTACTTTATCTAATGTTCCTCTGTTTTTGTTCATTCATTCATTGCATATGCACCAATTTTTACTATATTCATATATCATAATTGATTCAAGTATATATATGCCTATGTTTGTTAGCAATTTTGATGTGACCAAGACTACCGAAATAAAACAATCAATATCTCTTTTAGTGATAAATGTCTTCAGTTTGTGTAAGTTACCTGATAAGAAGGGCTCTGCAAATTGGGAGCCTCCAGGCTCCAAGTCTAAGTCATGTACAACATAGCACAGTTTTCATCATCCCGTGATCTCTTCTGAATGTCCATATTCCTCTCTTCACAGTCAATATTAATGCTTCCCCCAATACTGAAGATTGCTTTCAACGCCTCATTCACTTTGTCCAATCCACAAATAATTTAGACTACAATTGGATGAGCACAAGATCTAAATCAGTGTGTAATTAGTAGGAAAATAAACACAAATTTGAAACATTTTAGAAGGAATGGTCTGCAGTCAAGCAAGTGACAACTCAAGAAAATGTCAAGTAAATAACAGAGTATTCTGACAGAGATATCAAGCATCCTTGTTGATAAAGGTATGGCAAATCCGGCAGTGTATTGTACTGATAAATTGGTAATATGCAGCTAATTTCATGATTTAAGACCAAAATGAAAGGAATGCGGATGAAAGAGAAAGGTTTCTAACAAAGCAATTTGCATGATCTACAAGTATTTGCACAGGCCTCTCCAATAATAACCTTTTCTTTGTTCCCTTCTCTCTCCCCTTACTACCCCTTTTGATTTTGAAAATGCAGGAGATTTAGGAAGTTACAAAAATCACTAAGACAGTCTTAGCGAGTCATGTAGAGCTTATAACATGTCAACCAAAGCATACTTCAAGGAATGATCAGTATGATATAGCAGACTTTCTCGCATATGAAAATAATTTTGCTTTGCTTGTGACAATTTCACTGTGTTCAATCCATGAATTAATCGCTGGAGCCAACGACAAACACCCAATCACTAACACAAGCATAATAAACCATAAATACTGACCTTGAGAGTTGAAGGCCAAGGAATGGTGCCTGCAAACGTCACCATAGGTTGACAGAATAGCCTGAGCTACCAGCAGGTTGGGCCAGTGCTAGTTCGGGATCTGCCATGGCCTGATACAGAGGAAAAAAGAAGCTTAGTTTCTGTTTTGGTTTGAACAGCATGTAAGCCACAATTTAATGGGCCATACTACTTCCTTTTAGATGGAAAAAGAGCAAGGACCCTTCACCAATAGATTATAACCTATCCCATTACAGGTACCTCCAAAAATACTAGGTCACACTTTAAGCAAATATATATAATAAATGATATGTTAATTCAATTTACTATACAAACCTAACATTAACCTGGCTTGGTCCAAGTGTGACTTGCTAGTCCACAACAATGGAGATTAATACATGATATGTTAATTCAATTTTCTCCCATTTCTCCAATCAGCTAGATCTTGTCTTCTAAATCGAAAGATTGCTCTAATAATCCTTCCATAAAGCTAAATGAAATCCTAATTGCATGATTGTCAAACAAATAAGGCAAACTGGTTTCAGTTCTATTTGATCTTGCTTTTGAGAACAACAAATTAAACCCTAAGCATCCTACAGATTCGATTCAACAGACCCACAAATTTTCCTTCCCTAGAGCTTTCTTTCAACCAGATGAGTGAAACTATCATTGCCCTGCATCAAAGCAAAACCTTCTCGCTATAAATATATAGTACATAACAGATCATCAGGTTAAAGCTTTTAGGAGCTAAAGGCCATAAATGAATTTTAAAAAAAAATGGTTACCTCTAAGATTTTGAATTTTGTATACGTTTTCGAGATGGAGATTCTGAAACCGGTTGGATCAAAGTAAAGATTAGGAAGAGACAATTGAAGAGCTCGGTCTGTTCTTGGCGCCATTGTTTCAACTGAAAGTAACGAATCAATTTTTTACGTTGGTAGTTTGAATTTCAATCAGGAGGCTATCTCTGTAATTACAGTAAATTTTAAGTTGTTCTTTTGGCGCCAAAAATTTGCAACTATGAATACATGCAGCACGTGCGAGCCATGCAATTTTTTTTTTTCCGAAAAGTTGCTAAAAAGGAAGGGAAAAATAGAGAAAATTAAATCAAATTCAATTAAAATAAAAAATAATAAATATTGTAAAATTTTAATTTATATATCCAAACGTAATTAATTTTTTTACTTTTTTATTTTTGACATACCTGTATTTGCTTTTGTAAGAAATTTTTCTTCCACTTTTACTGCTAAAATCAATAAGTAAATAAAAAAAATAAAAATAAAAAAAACTAATTTTATACTTTTTTACTCATTTATTTTTTAAAAAAATTATATTTTTTATTTTATTTTTTACTTATTTTTTGTATTTTATCAAATCATATTCAACTTGGCAGGCTGGCAAGCCCATGTAAATGTGTCATGAGCTATGCTACTTTGTATTGGTAATTAGTAAAGGGGACATAAATTTATTTTTACTTTAAAGGATAAACAACTTCATTTAAAGAAAAATAAAATAAAATAAAAGAACATAAAATAATAAAATATAAAAAAATGTTTAGGTTTTTATAAAACTTATACTTTTTAAGATTTTATTTGAATGGATGGTAAAATTGATTTTAATGATATTGAAAATAATAATAAAAGTAAAATTATTATTATAATAATAAAATTAAAATTAATGACGAAATATATGTTTAGATATAAAAATAGTTGTAGTGATAGAATTAATTGTAATGAGAAAAAAAAATAACTATTAAGGGTATTAGAATAAAATTATATTTAATTAAAATTTAATTAAATTATTTTAAATAATAGTTTTGTTAATAAATAACTAAAAAGTAATAATCAAAATCAAAATAAAATTTATTTATTATTTTTTTATTATATAATAATAAATTTTATTTATTAATTATTATATAATAATAATAAATTAAAATGAAAAAAAAATGGTTCAAGGCATTTTTGAATTAATATAAAAAGTTTTGAGACAAAAATAAAAAACTAAAAGCTCCGATGCAATTAACGACCAGATCCATTTAAATTCAGTAGCCAACTGCCATCAATAGCAATGCGTCAAAATCTCGTTTGAGTCTCGATAGATACAAAGTCAATTGACAATCGACCTACTGATAAGATTGTATGCAAATGGGCCTAATACTAATAATTATTGAGAAATAATCAAAACACGAGTCGTGAGAGGTAATTATAACCTCAAGAGGTAATAATTACTCTTTGTCTATTTATTTTTGTTTTTTAAAATATTTTAAAATTATGTTTTTGTAATATCTAAATTTTATATTTTTTATTATTTTATTTGTTATATTAAAATGTTTAATTTTATAAAAAATTTTAATTTTAATATTAATTATATTAAAATCAAATTTTTTAAAAAATTTCTTCAAAATTAGTACTACCCAAACAATTTGGGATAGACAGGTAATATTGAAAATATTTTTTTACTTATAAGTAAAAATATTTTGCTACTCAACAAATGAAACATGTTCACAAATTATACATCGTCAAATAATGGGAAGAAAAATATTAGGAGACAGACGAACGAAGCTTAGTGGGACTGTGGGAGCCGTAATTTTCACCTGAAAGCGCCGAAGTATCTGAATCCCGTGGGCCCATCTCAACCGATTCCTGGAAACCCCCCCCCCCCCCAACCCAACGGTCCATTTTTCTAGTATACTTTTTTCTTCTCTACCAAAAAAAGAGGTATCTCTGCGAAACACCTAATTTCAAAACGCCCGTAAGAATAATAGTCATCCGCACACTAATCGGAAACATTGACGATCCCGATTCTCGCACAAAAAGGGAAAAAAAGCCAAAGCAAGAGGAGAGAACATGGTGGTGACGACAACGGCGAATGACGTGGCGTATGGTGATTGGAGCGAGACGAAGACGTGCGTGGTGCTTGGAGGCCGAGGATTCATAAGGAGATCGCTCGTCACCAGGCTGCTGCAATTGGTAGGCTGGATCGTCCGAGTTGCCGATTCATCTTCTCACTCGCTGTAGCTCGATCCTTCCTCAGCTTCCGACTCTCTCCTCTCCGATGCTCTCTGCTCTGGTCAAGCCTCCTTTTGCCACGTCGACGTCCGCGATACATTAAATTGTTCATATATATATAAACGTAAACATACGATAAATATACGTATATATACCTCTTTACGTATAATTATTTCGTATATATGCATGTTGTTTACTGGAGATATGGCAGCAAAGAAAGTTAGAAAGCTTGATCAGTTATCTATTTATTTATATTTTCAAAATTAGAGTGATTTCAAGTTTGTTAAGCTGAGAATCGAGTTTGGCATGAACATTTTTGTTTGAATTTACTTTAATTTTTTGCAAGAGTTTTTGAAAAGGTGACCTTTTGTGTTTACTTTCTTTTTCTTAGGAATTAATAATGTAAAATGTTAGAAATGATTTTTATTTCCTTGGAGATTAATATTACCTGAGGGGTTTAGTTTTAGCTGGAAAGAATGGAAAGTTAAGGTCTACAATACCGATATTTGGTTCCTGAGAAACCATTGACAAAATGTGAGAACTGAAAAAGTGAAAATGCTAGAGTTCAATCAATCTTTTTGTTTATTATTTCCCTTCACAAACTAACCAAGGAACTTATGGACTTATGGAATGTTTTGGTTTCTGGAGTGTATTGGTTTTTGTTTTGTTGCAAGAAAATTAGATAAAATAAAGTAGCATCTGAATTCTCCTTGTAAGAAACTGAACGGTATACTGTGATGGAGAGAACATAAATTGAATTCATGTATGTTACATTTTTAGCCTCATTTTCAGTTTTAAATTTCCTTGCAACATTGAAAATGTTTGAGAAATTGACTCTCCATTGACAATGCACCTCTTGCAGTAACTAAAGGTGCAGATGTTGCTTTTTACATGGAACCGACAGATTTAGTCACACATGATTTCTATAATTGCTATATGGTCATAATTCAAGGTAATGGGTCTTTCTTTTGCCCTTTTTGATGGGTCCTTTTTTCCCATCTGTTGATGTTGTAGATTTATAGTTATATACTATATTTTTAAAATGATACTCTTTTGTTAATAATATGTTCAGGTACAAAAAATGTCATTAATGCATGTCAAGAATGTAAAGTTAGACGACTTGTATACAACAGTTCTGCAGATGTTGTTTTTGATGGTTTACAAGATATACTAAATGGTAATGAAGCCTTGGCTTGCCCGGGGAAAGTATGTTTCTTATTGCTGCAATCTGATGAAACAGATTTGGATTTAGAGTTACCATTAGTCGTTTGCTAATTGTCCTTTGGTTTATTTATGCACCAATACAGTTTCAGGATATGCTGATTGACCTCAAGTTTCAAGCAGAAGGACTAATCAGGTTAGCTAACAATATTGATGGTCTTCTAACATGTGTACTTCGCCCTAGCAATGTCTTTGGACCTGGTGACACACAGTTCGTGCCTTTGCTAGTGAATCTAGCCAAATCTGGTTTGGGAAAGGTTTGTGAACTGTCTCAGCTCTCAACATCACTTTATTTATGTAGAGCTGTAGTTTTACTGGTATCTTATTTATTTGGAAGCTTCCTGATGTTATCAATCATATTATACTGGATATTTCTACATTGATAATCAGAATATAGGCTTAATGTGAAATACAGCAATGTACCTAAAAGAACCTCTTCACTTTTAGCCCCAATTTTCCATGTTTGGATTTATCTCATGTAAGATCCGTAGTTATTTATGCTACCTAGATTATTCATGCTTTTCAGAAATGTGCAGGTGGTTGTCTGCTTGTAAAATTCTACTATTTGTCTTGCAATTTTTGGAAAAATAACTGTCTATTTTGTGTTATGATGGAACATTAAATATTTCTATTTAATTCTTTTTATAGTAACAGGTTTTCTCATTTCAGTTTATTACAGGAAGTAGTGAAAATATGTCTGACTTCACCTATCCAGAGAATGTTGCTCATGCTCATATATGTGCAGCCGAAACTCTAGATTCTCGGATAGTCTCTGTGGCTGGAAAGGTACTCCTTAAGAGTGTTGTTATGTATGGAAAGCTCTCTCATATTTTAATTTATATTGAATCAATGTATAAGGGAGATGTTCTCAATATGTAGGTTTTTTCATCACAAATCTCAAGCCTGTAATGTTCTGGGAATTTTTGTCACTCATACTTGAAGGCTTAGGGTATCAAAGGTAAAGTGTGCTGATTTTCATGTGTGAAAATCTGCTATATCATACTGATTCACAGTAGACTACAATGCTGTAGATTTATCAAACTAACATGATTGTGACGTATAACAAGATTTACTTGCGTTACTAAGACTGTTGTTCAGATAGTGTAAAATTCAAGTGTTGCCACAGCATAGCCACCTAAATCCCCTGCACTTCCCCAAACCAAAAGAGGTAATGATGGACCAGAGAAGGGAACAAAGAAACTGAGATTATGTTGTGAACCGTTATTCTTTATTTGGATGCTAATATTTGGTCCTCTAATTTTGAAATTAGCTGTTTATTGCCAATTCATCAGCAAAAAATGCTGCTGGATTTTGCAATACCATTAGTGACAAGGATTAATGTAGGAATGTTTTTCTTTCTTGTTTGGCAGTGAATTCGTACTGTTATGGTATACTAAATTTGTTGTTAGATGTTTTATCATCCTGTTTGCCTTCTTTGAATTCTCATTTTCATTTAGTTGACAATTTATGTGATTTTGTCTTTCTGCTTGATTGGCTGCTGAAGCAATCACAAAAAATTCCATTTTTCTTCCTTTGTTTCTTTTTCTTTTTCTTTTTTTTTTTAAATTTGCAAGACTTTTAATGTTTTTCTCCTAACTGGAGTTGTCAATTGCATTGCAGACCATTCATAAAAGTTCCTACCTGGATGGTTTCCTTTATTCTCTCGCTTTGTCAATGTATGCATGACAAATTGTGCTTCAGAATACATAAATATTCCACGTCACCTCACTACATTGTGCAACTAGCTTCACGTACCAGAACTTTTGACTGCTCTGCAGCTCAAATGCATCTCGGATACTCACCTATTGTCTCCCTAGAAGTAAGTTTCTGCTGTCTTTCTTTGTATGTGAATACATTCTTTTCTGCTATAGAATATCCCATCATCTGTCCTTTCTTTAGGCACCCCTATATTATATAGAATATTTTCCAGATCTTCTGTTAGCCTATAGTTTTTCTTGATTTATTTTAGGACTTTTTAAGGAACTAGAGTACTTCTTATCTGTTGACTAGCTAAAAATTGTACTTATTGCTTTCACTTTCTTTTATGTTTTTCAATATTTTTTCATATATTGGTATTTTATTGCCATAGTATTAATCTTTATAGATTAGAAGCACTACTCCTTGTCTCCTTTTCTAGCATCGACTGGATTATAACTCATCAGTTGATTTGTACAGTCAATTAAACATTCTTGAGTTTGATTTATTTGTTTCCTGACAAGCTGTAATGTAGATAGATAACTATGCTAATGCTTTCTTGCTCAAATTCCAAATTATGTCCATTGTAAGGGACAGATGGACAATCTTTGATGGGAAGGTAAATAGAGTGAGGTTAATTCTGCTTATTTCCTTGAACGGAAATGATTGGATGAATGGGATTTGGTAGAATTGGTTATCCTGGCTGCTTTGACAAATTTAAAAGCTGGAGGAAGTTGAAGCAAAGTAAATGGCTGTTGGGAGTAGGATTTTCTTGTGGAATCAAATAACTGCTTTTGTTGCTCATGTCTTTATCCTTTTCCTTCCCATTATTTTTGATAAGCAGAAAGACTATTTTCATTCTCTAATATGCTTTTTGCCATTCATATAAATCTGTCCTACTTTAAGACATAATTAATGTTAGATTTAAGCCCTAGCTGATTGAATTCAGAAAATAGAAATGTTTGACTGTTTTTGCATTCTCAATTACTTCAATCACATGAAAATAGTTTTTCGATATCCAGTAGGGAGACTGCAATTTTTTTATCTGAAAGTTCATTTTTGTTTTTTGTTATTGATAATACAGGATGGTATCAAGTCAACTGTTGAATCATTCTCTCATTTAGCCAAAGACTCATCTTTTTTTGAGATACAGCAATTTTAATGAACAATCCAAAGCAAAGAAGCTGCTAGGCAGCGGGATAGGTATCCCATTATATGAGGTTTTATGCAGAATTCCAAAAATAGCATGGCATAGGCATTATTCTGAAGTTTATGTTTTGCCAAAGAATTAATTTGAAGTGGCATCCTTTCAATGATTGAGAAGATGACCAATTTGTTTGTAGATTTTAATCTTGGAACTGTTTATTTCTTTTGCTTATTATTTTGACCACCACTCTTATACCTAATTTTCAAAGTTCAGGTGCTTTCTGATGCATGCTACGTCACAAGATTGCACAATGGAAGAATAGTTGAAATTTGATTCTTTCTTTCTTCAAATGCAAGTGAAGGATTTTTGGTTTGTAATTATAACCGACAGGCTATATGGTCCATGTTGACTTCAGATTCAGACTGAAGCCTAAGCCAACATTTCATGGCACACTGTCAATCAGATAAAGGCACAGAACAAGATGCACCAATTGATCACTAAATGAAGACTTAAGACATTGCTCTTGAGTAGCATCTTTTCTTTGGATGCCTCCAAATAGGCTACTGTAGATAGAGTCATGATATTGCAATTTTCGCTATATAATGACCTTGAATTAATTTGATGCAGTTGCAGATGTCTTGCTATGGAGAGATGAAAAGAGAACATTTACATGCTTTCTTACTCTGACTTCGGTATTTTACTGGTTCTTTCTCTGTGGAAGAACTTTTACCTCGTCTGCAGCCAAGCTTCTGCAGCTAGTTACGGTGGTAATTATATGCCTTGGTTGTTTTGTAGCATTTCATTGGGCCTTCCTACAGCTTCTTGAATTTTCTGTAGTTGGCCCATTTTTACACATTGATTCTATCTGGAATTTGAAGCAGTAACTCGGTTGTCATTCCCCCTTTTCTTTTCCAGTGTCCATGTTCAATGCTAAACTCTTTTGATTAATATCCTCTTGCTCTTATCTATATTATCTATCTTCCCGTCGCATTCCCCTGTTTTTGCTTATGCTCCAGTTTTCTGTGGGTCATTAGATGGGGGGAATGGGGTTTTCAAAGGAGGTTGTTTTTCCTTTAGTTTTTATAGATAAAGAGATGTTCTGAAATACTTATCATGTTTCCTTAGGTTCACTTTTGCCACTTCTGTCAACATAGCTGAATTAGGCTTTTTTCCCATACAGTAAAACTAGCGTATTAGATTCCACAAACAATTAACGAAAGCAATTTAGTTGTTTACAAGGTATAGAGCACCTGTAATACCTTAACTCTTTTTTCTCTCTAAAGTGTTTACATTCCCATTATTGACTTACAGAATCTGCAAGTTTTATTTTTCCTTCAGTAACCTGTTGAATTTTGTAATTTTTTGAAATATAATTTTCAAACAACCGTGCAAGCGCACGCACATGCACATATGCACATGCATCTCTGTCTCAAATATGATGCCCTTTGCAACAGATGTGGTTTTGCTGTTCGAAGGATATCTTCGTATTGTTTTGAAATCCCAGCATCCTCCGTGAAAAATTCAATCAGATCCATAGCATATATGTGGAATAGAGGAGTTCGTAACATCAGATTGTTGGCCGAGGGGGAGGATTGGAGCAAGTTTTTCAAGGTTTGTATTTTGATGGCAATTCTTTTACAATTTCATGCATTTTTATAATGTTTTATTTACAATTATTATGAGTTTTTATTCTAGAGCATGTATAATAGGAAATCTCCAACTTAGAACTGTTCATTATATGTTTCCCCTTGAAACCCTCATTGTTTCAGTTGAGTTCTTGCATCCAGGTGCATAAGCTTTGCCCAAAACTCAATATGGATCTGATGTGAACTTTGACTTAAGCAAACTTGCGAAATAAGCACATCCAAAATTTTTTTGATTGATTTTAACTGTACAAGCTATACATAAGTCCATACGATGCACAACTATGAGCATAATATTAAGTTCTTGTGGATTTTGCTTTACCTGTGCAAGCTTTTTCTTCCATATTTCATTGAACTTTTGACTTCTTCAGGTTGCGGTTTTTCTTTATTTCGTCAAGTTCGTTCTGTCTTATTCCTTCGCTGTGCTTATTGGCATTGGTGATTAAAAATTTACATTTGCCATAAATGGGCAGTTCTTTTGGTTTATTCCTGGTATTAACTTTGGAAATCATCCGTACTGCAGCTTTGGTTTTTGCCTTCACCGCATTCTTTGCTTATGAACAATATGAATCAGAGCTTGATGGATTAGGGAAGGTTCTGTTCTGTGGTATCATGGAATCAAAAGGATTGCTAACGAGGACCCTACCGGCTTCTATCGCATCATTTCTTCAAAACCACAACATTTTGCATCAAGAAAAAGCTCCTGCTGCTGTAAAGGAGTTGAAATAGCCGGATGGAGCTCTCGGAGTATTTTAGTTTTCATTGCTGATCGACTATCCTGGTTAGGCTTTCATCAGACTAGAAATTGTTTTCCTAGCAAAATAGAGAACTAGATAGGGTCAGTAGTTTAATTGAACAACTTAAATTCTGTCCCTTCTCTGTTAATACTGATTGTTCATTTTAAGCAAATCATGTTATAGGGATACATGCACATACATAAACGAATCTGCGTCTGTAACATAAATGCAGTATGGATTTAAATTTTAATATTTGTAATTATATTTTTTAACTTTTATTTTTAAATTACCTTTTTAAAAAAAAAATTGCAATCGGTGTACCCATGATTTAAAAATTAAATGGTAGCTTATTTTTATTTTTTTAAAAATAAATTTAACCTAGTTAAATTTTCTGATTTTGGAAAAGATTGATAAATATCTTTTGCAATCACCTATTTTGTTCTAAGAACTTGGAACGATTCGTTTATATATGGTTTTTAATGGTAACAGTGAACACAAGCATTACAAAATTTAGTTTAAATCAGGTTTATTCATAAAATATTATCATTTAATTAGCATTGGTAGCATATATATTTTTTCTTATAAAGAAAAATAAAACTTGCTCTAACGATTTCTTGAAAATAAGTATTCCAGCTAATTATAAATGATATAGAGATAACAAATAAATTTATCTTTTTTTTATTACTAGCATTTCCAAATATTTAAATAGAAAAAAAATCCTACAATCCAAAATTTGTGTAGCTCTTTGCCCCTCTGTATTCAAGAAAGAAACGGCGCCGTTTTGTACTGCTACTGCCTTGTTTCCTCCCCGCTTCATCCCTTCGGCTATAGACCCGTAGTTTATGGTTCCCAAACTGCGACGAACTTAAAAAAAAAAAAAAAGGAAAGATTTGGATTTCTGATTTAAAAAATTGTGGTTCATTTCAATATCTGTTTCGATTTCAATCCAACATCCAAAAACCCAAACAATGGCTTCTCAAACTGCAGTCCAAAGATCCCCTACCTCCACTTCCTCCTCCTCCCCTCTCCACCGTCTCTCCACTTTCAAAAACCCATCTTCTTCTCCCACCGCCGCATCTCCTCCTCCGCCGCCATCTTCACTCCTTGACTCTTTTGCCAAAGACCCAATCCTTTCCCCTTTCCTCTCCCCGTCCTTTTCTTCCATTTCCTTTTCCTCCGCTGCCCTTTCCTCCGGATCCCCTGCTTCCATTGCCGAACACCTTCTCCAAGCCATCCGCCAACTCGATTCCCAACTCCGTTCCCACGTTCTTTCCAACCACCCTCTTCTCCTCACTCAATTATCTTCTCTTAACAACGCTGAGCTTTCCCTCTCCACTCTCAGATCCTCAATTTCTTCTCTTCAGTCTTCCCTTCGTCGTGTCCGATCTGAGCTCTCCGAACCGCATACTTCAATTCTCTCTAAAACAGTCCACCTCTCGAATTTACATCGGACTTCCGAGCTTCTCTCCCACTCCATACGTGCCATCCGCCTGTCGAAAAAGCTACGGGACCTTATGGCTTCTGCAGAAGTAGAGCCTGATAAGTTGGATCTTGCTAAGGCTGCTCAGTTGCATAATGATATCTTGACCTTGTGCGAGGAATATGATCTTGGTGGTCTTGATATGGTTGATGAGGAACTTAATGCGGTCAGAGAGATAGGGGGTAGGTTAAGGAGCGAAGCTATGAAAGTTTTGGAAAGGGGAATGGAAGGGTTGAATCAGGCTGAAGTGGGAACTGGGTTGCAAGTGTTTTACAATCTTGGGGAGTTGAGAGGGACGGTGGAGCATCTGGTGAATAAGTACAAGGGAATGGGTGTGAAGAGTGTGAGTTTGGCGTTGGATATGAAGACGATTTCAGCCGGTGGTGGAGTTGGAGGATTTGGTCCTGGAGGCATTAGAGGGACTGGAACGCCACAGATTGGGGGAAGTGGGAAGGCAAGGGAGGCGTTGTGGCAGAGGATGGGGAGTTGTATGGATCAGTTGCATTCTATTATGGTTGCGATTTGGCACTTGCAGAGGGTTTTGTCCAAGAAGAAAGACCCTTTTACGCATGTCTTGCTGCTTGATGAAGTCATTAAGGTAACACCATTTCTTTTTGTATTGGTAATTCTATTTGTAATTGAATTGGCCTATTATGAATTGAAAATGCTGTTCCTTTGTTTGACTATTATTGATGCTGCTTGGTTCAGGAGGGTGACCTCATGCTAACAGATCGAGTCTGGGAAGCACTTGTTAAGGCTTTTGCTACCCAAATGAAGTCTGCTTTTACTGCATCAAGTTTCGTCAAAGAGATATTCACAAATGGGTATCCAAAACTATTCTCTATGATGGAAAACCTTCTTGAAAGAATTTCCCGTGACACTGATGTCAAGGGCGTCTTATCAGCAATCACTTCAGAGGGTAAAGATCAAATGGTTGCAGCTATTGAAACATTCCAGATGGCTTTCTTAGCTAGCTGCTTAAGCCGGCTTTCAGATCTAGTTAATTCTGTTTTTCCAGTCTCCAGCCGTGGTAGCGTTCCCTCCAAAGAACAGATCTCTAGAATTCTTTCACGCATTCAGGAAGAGTTAGAAGCTGTTCAGTTGGATGCTCGATTGACTCTTCTTGTGCTGCGCGAAATAAGCAAGGTTTTGCTTCTGATTGCAGAACGAGCTGAATATCAGGTATCTCCATGCTATAAAATTTTCTTCTTACGGAATAGAATATCTACATATTCAAATGTAGCTTGTGCTGTGTTTGAGAGTATCATCTGACTTAAATTTGTAATAAAATTTATCTCATTAGTATTGTTATTATTGAGGTATGATTAGTATCTTGTTAGCCTGTAATTATTGCCTCAATAAAGGTGAAATTCAGGATAGTCTTAATTGTTTGATGGATGCTTTGAAGTAATACACACAGTAAATGGAACCTTTTTATCAATAAGTGTGGCCTGGGAAGAGAGGTGGGGGGTTGGAAGAGCATTTGTATGCAAAATGAACATTCAAATGCCTATTCAACTGAGAACTACTAAAAAATTCTTTATGTCTAATTAGCAAAATCAAAATAATCTTCATTAAATTTAAATATTTTGAAATTTGAAAAATATTCATAAATATTCTTTCATAAATTGTAAAGTAGAATGCTAATTTTCTAGATTTGTAACTGATGTTGATTTAACCTAAATAAACCCACTTCAATGCAATTATCACACATGCAATCATTGACAAATATTTCTCAATTGGCCATACCCATTAAGCAGAAACTGAAAAAAGAAAAAGTGGAAAAAAAAAAGAACAAAAAAGTAAAGGGTGATATTGGGAAATTTGTTAACATATTATGATTTATAATGCTTGACCTTCATTGGGTCTGATAAAGGAAAAATGTGGAAAAATAAAAATGTTTTAAGAGAAAGAATACAGAGTATTCAAGAAAGAGAGGGGATAGATGGGAAATAGGAGAATAGAGAGAAGGGAAGAGAGATAGAAAGGCAGGGAGCAAAGTAGAAGGGGAAACACATGATGGGACTCCTTACATCTTTTAAAAGCTATGCCTGATATCAAAAAGTAGAAGTTGGACCTTAGGGAAAATCTCCTTCTAGTAAGAAGCAAGGAACAAGTTACTGTAACAAGGATGATAGTAGTTTTCTTAAATTTTCTTGATGGTCAGGATGATAGTAGTGTCAAGTTAGTGTAACAAGGAAGATAGTAAGAAGCAAGGTACAGGCTTCTTAAATTTTCTTGAAATTCCTGACTGAGATTTGCCTCTTGTCACTTGAAAATTTTGGGTAAAATTTCCCTTTCTTTTTCACTGAATGAAAATTGATCAGTTTGATAGAATTTGTTATTCATGTTTTCTCTATGGAAGAAAAGTACAATAATTTTCTGAAAAAAAAAAATTGGATCCCTGTGGCTGATGGAGACACAGGTGGATTAGACGCCAATTTCTATTCCTGATTTTGGATCAGTGTAGGGGAGGACCAAGGAGGTAACTGCCACATTGGCTTTCCTAAATCTGCTATGTTTGTGTGTGTGGGTTTATGACTAAAAGCTTGTTGTTAATAGTTGGCTTTATCATTGTAAGTTTTTGGTATATTTGGGAAATTGGGTCCTAGTGTGATCATAATGCATGTTTTGTAGAATATCATTGTCCAATTCACAATATAACCAAATGTGATGATGTTTGAATTTTGTATCATCATATAAACACATTTCACTAAAGTTACAATGTTGTTCTATATTATTATTCCTAAAATTTTGAGACATATATTTAGCGCATACAATGATTCATCTATTGAATCTAACTGGTTTTAACAATTACTCTGTCCATTCAGCTTTTCTGACTGTGTCACTTTTTTTTGTCTTGCAAATATAATGCATTGTTTTGTGGTTTAATTTGTTTGGGCGAATGTCCTAGGCTCTAAGTGGCATTAGTGCATAATAATCCTTGAGCATTTACTAACCCTGCATTTGATCTAATCATGGACTTGATCTGTTTGTTAATAATAGGTTTAATCTCATTGTTCAGTTTGTGAAGGATTCCTTTTCTCAAAACCCTAGAAACTCTTCCCAAATCTTCTAGTAGTATATCAAATAGTACAACTGTGTGTCTGTGTCATACAGTACATAATTTTCACATACTTTTAGTATCTTCATGCATGTGCCTGATCATGACAAGTGTGTTAATTTTGTTATACTGGCAGATATCGACTGGTCCTGAAGCACGCCAAGTATCTGGTCCTGCTACTCCAGCTCAGGTCAAGAATTTTGCATTATGTCAGCATCTACAAGAAATTCATACACGAATAACTTCTATGATCTCAGGGCTTCCAACTATTGCTGCAGATGTATTGTCACCTTCACTTGGTGCAATATATGGTGTTGCTTGTGACTCTGTAACATCCTTGTTCCAAGCAATGATTGATCGGCTCGAGTCTTGCATCTTGCAAATCCATGACCAGAACTTTTCTGCCCTTGGTGTGGATGCTGCTATGGACAACAATGCTTCCCCTTACATGGAGGAGTTGCAGAAGTGCATTCTTCACTTTCGTAGTGAGTTCCTATCTAAGCTGCTGCCATCTTCAGCTAATTCTACAACTGCAGGAACAGAAACCATATGCACAAGGCTTGCTAGGAGCATGGCTTCACGGGTTTTGATCCTCTTTATCAGGCATGCTTCTCTTGTTAGGCCTCTTTCAGAATCAGGCAAGTTGAGAATGGCCAGAGATATGGCTGAGCTGGAATTAGCTGTGGGCCAAAATTTGTTCCCTGTAGAACAACTTGGTGCACCATACCGAGCACTTCGAGCTTTCCGACCGCTTATCTTCTTGGAAACATCTCAACTAGGAGCATCTCCTCTTCTTCAAGATTTACCTCCAAGTGTCATACTGCACCATCTTTATTCCCGAGGCCCTGAAGAATTGCAATCGCCACTCCAGAGAAACAAGCTTACGCATTTGCAATATTCATTGTGGCTGGATTCTCAAGGGGAAGATCAGATCTGGAAAGGAATCAAGGCAACTCTGGATGATTATGCGGCAAATGTTAGGGCTAGAGGGGACAAGGAGTTCAGCCCTGTATATCCTCTTATGCTTCAATTAGGTTCATTGTTGAGTGAAACCGTTCCTGCATCTCAGAAATCATGACCAATTATCCACTATGCTTCGCGTAAATTAGTAGTAGACAAAACCAATAGCGCTTGCCATGTTTTTGCCTTTTAGCAAAATGTTGCATAGGAACATGTGTGGAAAAGCTTCACAAGGATTCCTAGATCTACTCCAAACGTTTAGGTGAGCAATTTTTTATCAATAAAACTGGATTTTTTTTGTAGATGCTTTTTTCCTTTTGTGGTAAACTGACAATTTGTTATCTTCTCGGGTCTTTAGGTTCTTCTTGCCACCTTAAATAATAGGGATCAACAGCTATATTTGAGCTTTTGGCAGATTTCGCTGCCGAAAGTAGTTGGATGCCCTCAAGGTTTAAAGTTCTTTGAGTTTTGTATTAGCAGGTTCATTTTCTTCTTGTGCCCATTCGTTTTAACTATGCAAAATCAATTTACATCATATCATATGGTACAGTTACCTTTCCCAGATTTCTCCTTACATTATAGATGACATTTTGACGAAAAAGAAAAAAAAAACAATGTTTTGTTTGTGCAAAGGATGTTACTACAATTGCAATGTACTGAAATTTTTTATGTATCCAACAAATGGAAAATGTTTTCCATTTCTGGGAAATTTACCGGATAAGTTGCGGATGCTTGTGGAATAAGTAATGTTTATTAGTCATAGTATTTGTGAGTGCAAATGATCAATGATGTCGCAACATCTCGGATCCAGGAGTGAATGACCCGAAAAATGGACGAATGGAAAAATTTTGAAAATTGGGGTTTAAAGGCATTTTATCATTTTCAATAAAAATCAAAATAATGAGTCGTCATTAATTTTTTTTTAAGATGTGATTGATTATTAAAAAAAATTAAACAAATATTTAAAATGAATTTAAAGTTTTATAAAAAAATAAATTTGTAGTATACAAATTTAGAGTCTAAATTCATAAGTTAATAATACGTGTTAATTGATTGCATGTTATCTTATAATTTTAATAAAAATAATTTTATTTTTTTAATGTTTAAAATTAAATTTTTTTCTTTTTCTTTCTTTTTTTCTTTTTTTAGAAACATAGACAAATCAAATTAAAAAAATATATATAACTTTATTTTTTATTTTTAGATCAAAATGAAAAATATTTTAAATATTAAAACATTTTTTTCATTCTATAGGTAAAATTCAAAAATATTTTAAATTTAATAGCATGTTGGGATTAAGGTGAGAAGAGAGAAAGGAATGGAATGGAAAGGAAACAAAAAAAAATGAAGAATTTTTTTTCTTGTTTGTATATGACATAAATAAAAATAAAGAAATTAAAAGTATGCTTGGCTTCCTTTGGTTTTTTTCAACTTTTTTTATTTTTTTAATTTCCCCAAATTAGGGAAAAAGGAAGGGAAAAGAAAAGAATAAAATTTTTAAAATATAAAATGATTATTATATCTTTATTAATTTTTTAAAATTAAAAGTGCATAATTTTAAATTTTAAAATTAAATTGAGAATACAAAACATTAGTTACCAATAAATTTATTGTTTTTAATTTTTTTCTCTTATTTTTATAACTTTCATAAATTTCATTAATAACTATTTTTATGAAGAAATAAAGAAAAAATGAAAACATGAAATACGTTAACATAAATATGTAAATATTATAATAAAAACAAAAATTATCAAAGATTATTATCGAAAAAAATAATATAACAAATCATTTCTTGCCCTTTTCACTATTTACCATTATTAGGATTCTTTTATTTTCTTTCCTTTTATTAATTTTAGCTATACAAATAAATTGTACATATATCTTTTACTTTTTTTTAAACAACCTTTTCTTTCTTTTACTTTACTTTCTTTTTCTTTTCTTTTACTAATGTTTATTCAAACATAATGTAAGAGTTTTTAATTGTCCCACAAAACCCAAGTAACATCTCACAAATAATAATCACCGATCATCGAGAGTCTTCCTATAATTAGGTTAGATTTCGATAACTATATTTAATTAAGATATTATTTTATTTTAAAACATTTTTTTAAAACCAATTTTTAAAAACAAATGTATGATATATATGAACATAATAAAATATAATGAATGCATGACAATAAAACATGAATGACAAAATATGAATACATGACAATATAAAAATGCATATGATGACAAGGTAAAACAAAATACAAATGCATGATTAGTTTAGGGTTTGGGTTGGAAATTAGGGTTTGGTTTGGCGCTTAGTTTATGATTTAGAATTTAAAGTTTAGGTTTTAAGGGTTAGGGAATTTAAGGTTTAAGATTTGGATTTTTATGGAATAATCCATGTGACAATTACAAATTATAAAAATGCAATTAATGATGCATGTGCCAAAAGCATGAAAAGAGAACAAAATAATTACAAAACTAAATCATAAACAAAATATTATGAAAATTTAAGAGAAAATTTGATCAAACATGAAAAAATTTTGAAATTGGTTTAAATGTTCTACCATTTTGTTCTCTTTAAAAACCAAGCCAAACAACATCAAAAATCACTAAAACAAATCTATTAAACTAGTATTTATTTCATTAAAAATTTAATTCAAACACATTAAAACTTGCCAATCATTATAAAAACATAACCAACACATGAATCAAAGAGCAATCAACCACCAAACAATGAAGCAAGGTTCGACAAAACAAGAATATCACCATGGTTGAACCTACTTTGTATTCCCCCTAAGCATTTTTTCATTCCACTTCATCCAAACAAGCATTAATCATTTGGAAATCATTAAAACAATTTCATCAAACACATAATGAATCAAAATAGCTAGAAAATCTCATGAACAAAAACACCAACCAAACAACAAACATATTTCACTAACCAACCAAAATTTATGCAAACACATAGGTTAACTTATCAAATAAACATCATAAACAACATTTAAAAGTAATCAAAACAATAAAAAGTACCAAAAAGAGGTTTGACCATGGTGGATAAGTGTTGGCCAAACCTCTAACTTGGTTTTTAATGGTGGATTTTGTTTTATTTTTGCTTGTTTCTAGCTTCAATCCAACTATTGATTAATTGGATAAAGTTTGTTCAAACTTTATGCAAATAAAAATGAATTATAAAGCTTTAAGAAAACAAAGAAAATGGGAAGAAACAATATGAAGATACTATAGAATATGTGATGGGAATACAAAAAAATGCAAAATGGATGACAAAGAAAGTATACCTATAAGCTTTCTTCACAATGATTTTTTTTATTTTTTTCACCTTTTTTTTCTCTCAATTTATCTTCTTCTATTTTTTTCATGCCCTTTCTCAACTCTGAATTACAGAAAAATGTCCCTTCTCTTCAAAAAGATGATGGAGAAATATCTTTCCAAAATTAAATTTAGGCATTTGGATAAAAAAATCATCTAAGGGCTTAAATTTCTATCTTGTTTTTGTTTCAATGAGCAAATTTTAGTCGTTAGATCAAAATTTTCAATATAATCCAATGGTCTAAGATGTACACTGCAAATGTTGGACTTTCACAGCCATTAAAATCAAGTGAAAAGATAATTTTACCCCTAATACAAAGTTTTTTATTTTTAGGCTATTTTTCTTAGAAATGAATGCTCTCGTGTTTATTTTTATGATTTTAAAGAACCAAAAATCATGAAATAATATGAAATTAAGCTCTAAAAATTTTCGTGAAAATCCAACCTCGAGAAAATTAAATTATGAAATTACAAAATTGGTATTTTGGTAATTTTATATTTCTCGAGGTATTAATGTGGTTTTGAATGCACAAAAAATATCAAATATTATAAAAATATGATCTAAAAAGTTTCGCAAAAAACAACCTCGTAAAGGTCAACTTAAGAAATTACCTTTAATGGGCATTTTAATAATTTTATACTTTTCAAGGTGTGATCAAGGTTTTTTAAAATTTTAAAAATCATCAAACAATATCAAATCATGATATGAAGTGTTTTGTGAAATTTCAACCTTAGAAAGGTGAAATTACAAAAATACTCTTAAGGGATATTTGAGTAATTTCACATCTCTCAATGTGTGATCTGTGTTTTCAATGCATCAAAAATCATGAAAATATATTCAATTATGCTTTAAAAGTTTTCATGAAAATCATACTTTGAAAAATTAAAATTACGAAAATACCTTTAAGGACATTTTAACAATTTTATATTTTTTGAAGTGTAATTAAATTTTTTAATACTTTAAAAATCATAAATTTCAATTTTAAATCACATTGATTCCTATTGGGTTGAGAATTTTAAAGATTGACCCGACTTCTATCCGTTTTGACTAAGTTTGATCAATTTTGATTTTATTTGACTAATTTTGACTGTTTGATCAAAATTGACTAAAATTGATTTTGGAGCATTTTGATAAAATTGGTGCAAATTTTAACCTTAGAAATTGGTAAAAATTTTAAAAATATTGGATTTGAACCTTGTCGAAATTCAAAGCATTTCACAAAACGACCATATTTTGCTATGACAAAATTAAAAGTCTATAAATGAGAATTGACTGAAATGGTAAGAATTGAATACTTAGTAGTTTGTTTTATAACTTAAGTTTTATTCTTATTGTAGTAATCTCTTTTGGTAAACAATTTATAAATCTAATGTAAATCTTTGTTGAAGCCTACGAGATACTCTTATTGTAGAATGAAATAACCTTTTACGTATAGTATATAGTTAAATTATCTAATTTATAGTATCTCTAGATTTTGTTGTGATTTATTTTTCTCTTCAGTTGATATTAAAGATTTATTTTTCATGTTTTCAAGATTTTCTTGCAAGTTGACTTGTTCATTGGTCGGGTTATTTGTTCTTGAAAATTAGTTCAAGTTTTGAAAAGATTTAAATAAAAAATTTAATATATGAATTTAAGTATAATTTTTAAGTAAATTTAAATTTTGAGTTAGATTTAAAATAAAAAATTAAAACTCAAGTTCAATTCGAATAAAATATATAATTAAAATATTACTTATTTATATAAATTTATATATATGAATTCTTATTTTAATATTTTATTAAAAAAATTTATTATATAAATTAGGTTTAATAGTTAAATTTGAAATTTAATTTTTAACTTTAGTTGGATTTGAAAAAATTCAAAATTTAAAATATTGAATCAAATTTAAATAAATATAAAAGTTATTAATAATAAGCATCAATACGATTCAAATTTAACCTTATCATGCTCATAAATACCTCTACTTGATTATAGTTATACTAAATGGAAAAAAAAAAGTTTATATTATATGCTTGTAAGGTAAGAAAAACATAGTAATTGTTTTTATAGTAAAAAAATTAAAGTATTTAACGATAAAATTAAAAACTAATTTGAAAATAAAATCTTTTTCAGAAATTAATTTAAAATCATACATTATACCAAAACAATAAAAACGACATTCACCTTTTGGTATTTATAAAAAAGTAATTATACTCAACTTTTGAAAATAAGATGAGATTAATCATATTTTCATTTTTTTAAAATGGAATCATTGTTTTTGAAAGAGTAGAAAATTATTACAGTTATTTAAAAAAAATTATAAAGTTTAAATTTCGAATTTTACAAACATATTTTTTCAAAATTTAATTCAGGATAATATTTTAAAATTCAAATATAAATTTTTTTTTCTGAATTCTCATTTTTTTTTAAATGAAAAATCCCAAAAACGTGCATCAGCAATGTTGTTGCAACGTGTCAAACATCAGAAGATGATCAACAAACAACACCGATGTTCCACTCTCCAGCCTTCTTTCATCGAAATACGAAGTACTAAACGAAACATATGAACTGAGCAGCTCTCTTTTCTTACAACACCAGAGACCAGACACATGCGGAAAATGTACAGATTTAGTTACAGAAAGTTATGACTTTTGTTTTTGGTTTTTGAGAGTGGGGTTAGATGGAAAGAGAGTTGGGTTTGGATGAGTTAGGAGATTTAGCTCTTCATATAATTTTTTCTAAATTAGATCCAGCAGATACTGGCAGGGTTTCATGTGTCAGCAAAAGGCTTAGACGTTCTGCTTCTGAGGATTCTCTTTGGGCCCAATTTTGTTTCCAAGATCTTCATCTTTCAACCCCTCAAGATCACCAAGGAAACCCTATTCCTTCTTTCAAGGTAATTGGATTTTACTTAACAATTTTTTAAAACCCAATTTTATCTATTCATTTCCTGGTCTGGGTTCTTTTTTTTTTTCCTTGATTTAATTTCTTTTTTCATTGTATTTTCTGTGCTTGTTTGTGTTGATTATATTGCTGTGCTTCTTAGTGAATTGGGAAAAACCAAAAATTTTATTTTGCTTATGCAAATGCCCCTATATAGATCCATTTGAATTTTGCAAATAAATCAGTCTGCTGGGATTAGAGACTAAAATTCGGAATTTTTAGAAAAAAAAGTTAAAATTTATCAGGAGGAAAATGTTTCAATAGGGTTGAATACATGGTATGTATGAATTTATTACTTGTTAATCTATTCAAAAGCCCTGAAGCAATGTTAATTTGCTTAAGAATCGAAAACATCTAAATGATTGAATTCCTATTAGTAATGCTTATCTTTGTCTTTGTTTTTGCTCTTTTTTTTCCCCCAGGCAGCTTATCAATTATGGCGGGAGGCTTTTTCTATGTACCCATGGCCACTTGTTAAACGAGTTAAAAGATGTTGGGACAAGCTTAAAAAATGGTTGAGCAATAATTTTCCTGAGGCTGAGGCTACACTTAGAAGGGGTGCATCTGAATTTGATATTCAACAATTGCAGACACTTTTAAAAGTTAAACTGCCTCTTCCAACTAGGCTGCTCTATCGTTTTCATGATGGTCAAGAACTGATGGACAAAGAGCACTCAGCGACATCACTTGGTAGTTCATTGGGAATTATAGGTGGATACTCTTTCTATCGCCATTTGGTTAATGTCTACTTGTTACCCATAAGACAGGTAATAGTGGAAACAAGAGGGGTCATGCATCACCTAGGGTTTTCAAGCAGATCTAAGTACATCGTTGTGGCTGCTTCTTCAGCTTATAGTGAGAAGTTGTTTTTCTTGAAGTGTACGACTGGCCAACTCTTTGTTGGTACAAGGAACCTTTCCACTGATGGGGAAATGATTCAATGTGTCCCAAATGCACTGATTCGTTCTGTACATGATTTGCATGGTGATAGGCAGCAAGATGCCATGCTGCTGTGGTTAGAGGAACATGTTCGCCGCTTAGAAGATGGCATTATCAAAGTTCGCGAAGAAGGAAATGTCCGGAGTATCAATCTATTTCCTGAGGTTCCTCCCCTTTGTTCCACTGCTGTAACAAATGGTGTGCAGGTAATATTTTGCACAGTTCTTTTGGTATTTTGTTCTATTAAATTATTTTTCACCTATTTTTAAGAATTAGCATGTAGGTGGCTAGCTGACTTTGCTGTCTTCCAGTTGTGAGTGACTAAGCAAAAATTTTTCTGGTGCTTTTATTTTGCCATTCATATTGGAAGCTACATAGTAATTCACCTTTTAGGGGCAGATGGTCTTACCTCCTTGGGATTGCTTCAAGATGTACCTTCAAGTGAGCCTATGAATAAATGCACATTGTCCTATCCTAAACAATGCTCAGTTTGGTTGCTAAAAGTTGAGTGAGAAATTTACCATTTTCCTGCCTGACAGATTCCAAAGGAACTTGATATGTTGTGTAATCAGTGTTTCATTTTGAAGAATTCTCTTTCTTTCTTGTCAGCTTTATATCTGATATCAATGATTTTAATACTCTTTGTTCTTGTTGCAGCCCCTGCCCCCCTTTCATCTTTTCCTCTTTTAAGTTTTACCAAATGACTCAGAACTTTTACTTTAATAGCTGGCGAAGGATTAGGAAACTAATATTTTCATTTTGATATGTTGTATAAATTTCATTTTATCTTTTAAACTGAACTTATTAGTATATTTTTACCATAACTTGCATTCTTTTTGATGTCTTGGATATTTGTCGTTCAATTTAACACATGTTTACTTTTGTTATACGTAGATGGTTTGAGATCTAGAAGGCCTTTTTGCGCTTCTATAGGAGCCTTTTCTTTCCTGTCATTGTTATAAATGTGTTTTTACCCCTATGCTTTATAGTATTGCAATCAGTGTTGTCATTATTATTCTCATAATAATGGTACTAACAAAGAATATTATCTGCTTCAGGTTCGTGCTTCTGCTGTTTTTGCTCCAGAATGTTCTGACCTGCAAAATGAAGCTGAGAAGTACATCTTTGCATATTCAATCCGCATGTCCCTCTTGCCTGAAGGGTGCACCATTAATGGAATGACCTTCAGCTCATGCCAACTGAATTGGAGGCACTGGATCATTCGTGCTAATGAAGCTATTGTATCTAATGTTAATGGGGAGGCTGTGATAGGAAAGGTAATGACATCAGTTTCTCTTGTTTCAGTTTCTGCTATAGATACTGTGACTGAATTTAAATTTCAGTTGTAAAGAATGGCAACTGAAACATTTATTGGGATCTTGTTCAAATCCCCATTAGAAAAATATAGTGGCGGGCTGAAAGTTATCACTTGTCATGCTTATGCATCATTTTGAGTTCTTTTTTCTGTGGCTGAAGCATTACAATTATATTCCAGTAACATGTATTGTGGTACAAAAACTGAACAGTTCAACTTGTGAGAAATTAATCATCTCAGAATTTAGGATTATTTTACATTTTGTTTTCAAGGATTATGATTCATTTTGTTGGCAACTTATTAAAGAGTGACCCTTCAATTTGCTACTTCAATTGGCAACTTAGTCTCTAAATCTGTTTTGAGGAAAATGAGAGTAAAAGAAATGTGGTCTCCTGGGAACAAAATATTTTGGCTTCTCATGATTTTCCATATCACAGAAAATTGTGTAAAAGCTTGAAGGATAACTGAACACCTTGAAACAGCGGGAGAAAAACTACAGTTTTTTCCCTTCTTTTCCTTTCCTTTTGCTCAATTTTCCGATACAAAGGAGCCTTATCTGAAAATAAGCTGTTGATATGATATGATGCAGCTTTACTGGGTTTCTTTGTTAGTGAGCTGCGTGAATGATAGAGAAGAAACTTCGTAACCATGATGACATGATATGAATAAATTGCCTTTTTACTTGTATATCTTTATAATATTGAAGAAATTCACTTTCTGGTGCTCTTATCCTATTGATCTTCACTAGACCTCTGTTGTTTTAGCGTGCATTTGTTATTGATTTGAGTAATTGAGTGTCTAAAATATGCTACAAATCTCTTCTTGTCTTGCGTGCTCGCAGTTCCCTCTCTTGCATCCCGGCGAGGATGAATTTGTCTATGAGAGCTGCACACCTTTACCATCTTCTCCAGGTTCTGTTGAAGGTTCTTTCACATTTGTCCCTGGCAGGTATTCTGCACAAACTTTTAATTTGCTGAAGAAGTGGTTTTAAGTACTGTTATAATCTATGTTGATGAATTGAAGAGAGAGTCAAATCATTGTGGCAGCTGAGTGTTGACTTTAATGCAATGCCATCCTAGGAATTTGTTGAGAAGAAACAAAGCTAGAATAATATAACAATTTATATCTTAGATATGCCCTTTTTTTTTGGTAAAGAAAACCACAAACTGCAAACCGTTCCTGCTTGGAGTGGAGAGTCACAGAGACATAGCATAGGAAGTATATGGGTGGTTGATTGTTGGTTTTGTTGTTGACATAGAAGTTTTCCAAATAGAAGAGTAGATTTTTATGGATGGTGTATTAGAGTCTGATATACCCACCAAGTTTCATATGTTTTACCTCTGCAAAGCCATACCATAATGCATACATATATATATATATATATATACATACATATATATATATTTACGCTTGTTATACACACTGGAGAAATCTTGGTTGCTTCTAAATTTAATCTGACTGGGATCTTACAGCTGCATACCATTACGTGTAAAAAAATTTTTTTTAACTATTTTCATTATAAATGGGAAGAGAAAAAGGACCACTCCATTTATATAATGGGAAAAGTTTAATATTTGGTTTACTGTAATTAGCATGAATGTATTTGTTGTAGCGTTCATAAATCTTAAAGACTTCTCATAGGGAAGTATCTTCATACAGATAAGTTCAATTTCTAACTGTTCCTCTTTGAAATTTAACTGGATCTTGATTTTAATGAATAGCTGTGATTGCTGCCACTATCTAGAAGTTAGAAGACAATTGGTTTGATTTTGTTGACAAGAGTAAAACAAACAATTCCGCTATTGGACAGAATGATTGATAATTATAGATGCACATGCTGGCATTTTCTTTATCATCTTGTTCGATTGTCTTTTTTCAGCTGCGAGTTTCATTTTTAGTTGAGACTGCTGAACTTTTCAACTTGAGCTTCTGATAATAGAGTGATCGAAAATGGTTTCACTTCTGAATTATGAAGTGTTTTTCTTTCCCGTTGCAATCATTTCTTGCTGTGACAATGTTTTTTTACTAGAATAGCTTTTGTTTTTGGACTTCTCTTCCCTCCCCCGAACCTTCTAATCTGAACTTTTGCTCTACCTGTTCACGCCAGGTTGGTGGACCCGAAAGGCAGTCCATTTGAAGTTCAGGTGGCGAGGTTCCCCCTGCAGAAGCCTGATTATGTTTTTTGACCAACTCCTCCATGGTAGGTTGGCGGACCCGAAAGGCAGTCCGAACTGAAGTTCAGGTGGCAAGGTTCCCCCTGCAGCTGCCGGATGGCAACTCTTGCATGGTCTTCAGTCCACTTATTTGGCCAATGGTATATGTCAATAAATATGAAAGGCTTATTTGAATCTGTGAAACCCCTTTTGCTCTTTATACATCATCAGATTGCTTATACTGAAACATTTGTTGCTCTGTTTGCTAAATGGACAGCTTTTTGTTTTGTGAATGGTTTGTGATGGCTGCTTTTCCTCTTTTAGCAAACTATGCTGATAAAAATAATCATGAAGCTTGTTTCAAAGTGCAATTAGGCAATCTGTGGTTCCAATTTGTTAATTTTAAACTTGTTAGACGTGTTATTTCAATGATAGTTAAAATTAACTTAATTAAATTTAAATTTTAGATTTGTTAATTTTATATTTAGTAGACATTATTTTTAGATTTGAATTTGTCTAATGTAAAACTAATTTAATTAAATTTGTTGGACGTTATTGTTAGCTTTATAGGTTAAATGATGATTCAAGATGGAAGTGAATTGGATCTTTCTAAATTCTTCTCAAATAATGATTTCAGTATAGTTGAATGAAAATTAAGATAATAAGCTCTTTTAATGAAAATGTAATGAAGGCAATAACAATCAATGAACTTAAAATCAGATATGGACAACAATAAATTATAAAGAGATAAGAATAGAGAAATCAAACACAATGATTTATAGAGGTTCGATCTTTCTCCACAAGGCATTATGTCTTCTTTCTTGGTTGTCCACATCAAGGCTCAAATCTACTATGTGTTGAAAATTACAAACAAGCTTCTCTAAGCTTTATAAACTCGACACAATACACTGTTAAGCATTATCCTCCCCCTTAAGCTTACAATCACACAATACAAAATTTCAAGTGTTTGGCAAACTCTAAGAACCTCTCAAAGGTTGGGTGTTTACTAATTTGAAGTACACAAAGGTATAGACAAGACAAAGATGAATGAATAACAAAAAGATAATTTGGATACAATGAATGCAAGGACTTTGAAGCTCTAAGAACTCTTAATTATTTAAGAAAAAGAAAATATTGCTTGTTAGCTATTGCTCTCTTGATTCATCTTAATTCCTCTTATTTTCTCTTGCTTCTTGGTGTGTTGGAGTACCCAATTTATAGAAAAATTGAGAAACTATCTGTTAGGGAAGGTTGGTGTGAAGAAATGTCCGTTGGAATGATAAAAAAGTAGCCGTTGGAGGTCTTCATGCCCAGAACCTATCAATCCCTTCTTGAGGGGATCGATTGGTTCATGTTGGTTCAAGCACGATTTTGTGCTTGAAAAGTCTTATCCGATTGATCCCTTCCTTGAGAGGATTGATCCCTTGCCTGGTTGATCGATCCCTTATGTGGGGGGATCGATCCCTTTTTTGGATTTTCAGCTTAGGGGCATTCTGTTTGAGGAAGCAATCGATCCCTTTTAGAGGGGATCGATCCTGTCCAAGCTGGTGGTTGTTTCTTATTCTATACTCTACTTACTAATTTGATTATAACTTAAGCTATACAAATCCAAATCATAAAACTGTTTGAAGATTTAGAAACTAGACTTAAAGGGCTTTCGATCCATATAAAGTTTATCACCTAATTCATTGTGTACGAATTATAGTAAATTTTTAAATCTACCCCTTGTGCAGTTTTCTGGACAACTACAGTGTGTCTAGTAAAAATTCAAAATCTTTTCTTTAGAAAATTCATATTTTCATTTTGTTTGATCCATTAGAAAGTAGACTCAAGGAGTTTTTCAACCATATAAAATTCAAGTATTAAAATCTTGTGAATTTATACAGAAAAATAAAATAAGTTCAATATTGGAAGACTTTGTTCTTGTAAAAACAACTTTCCTAACTTAATCTATTTTCCAAAACCAATATTATCAAAATTGTATTAAGTCCAAAATGAATAAGTTCACTTTAAAAACAACAACTGGACTTTCATTTAAGCTCAAATAAATAATCTTTAAAGGTAGATTTGGTTTAAGAAATATGACACCAAAAAGGTTTGTTTAAACTTTGAAAATCATATTATTTATTTAGTACCAAAATATAAAACTTAAGAATATGTACTAAATAAATCTTTTTCAAAATCTTAATCAAGTTTATTTAGCTTTAATGTTTTGTCATTTCAAAATAATAATCAATTCAAGACTAACAATCTCCTCTTTTTTGATATGACAAAACTTAAATATAAATTTGTTTGATGAAGAACTTTCTTTGAAACATTTAAGATTTTGAAAGACATTTTGGAAAACTTCCCCTTAAACAATGCATGACAAAACTCTCCCTTAATTTGTGTATCCTAATCCTAATCCAACACAACTTAACAAACATATGCTAGTCAAATATATGAAATAAGCACAATCAAACATATGCATGTCAAGCACAAGCAAATTTATCTATATGATATTTTTCCTCCTTTTTGTCATAGCAAAAAGGCATGAGTATATTAATAAGCAAATAAATACAAAGAGGCATCATTAACAAATATATTCATGAAACATTTCTCATCCCTTTTGTTTATGCTCTTTATACCAAATGTTTAAACTCCTATATCAATTGCAATAAGCATACAAGAAAAAATATCTCTAAACTCTCTCCCTTTTTTGTCATTTAAAAAAAAGATAGATCAATTCAAGGCATAAGACAAAATGCTTGATACCAATAATATCAAAAGTATTTTGAATGTATGTAATCAAGTGCACAATGAAGTTTATATACATGTATTCAAGCACAAAAGGATAAGTGTATCCAAATTTGGCATTTTAGCACGTCATCAAATTTACTACATGAAATTTATGAGCAAAGAATAATGAATGATATGCAATTTACTCATAAATCATGCTATCATAAGATGTACTTAGAACCTAAAACATCAATAACAATTAAACATAAATTCAAACACATGCATACAAGCTCATACCAATTGTTAAGGATACCAATTGTTAAAGATATGTCATCAAGAAGCATACAAATTTTTATCACAAAACAAATCAAGCAAAATTGTATTATAAGATTTTTTCTCATTTTCAAAATAAAGATTAATCAATTTAAGGCACACACAATTTTGCATAAAAGGTACAAGCTATATCAAAGATAGGCACATAAACAAGTGTCTATAAAAGTTAAAAAAAAGTTTAGCAATTTTGATATCAATTGTTACCAATTGTTAGCAATTTTATCAACAACTTTCATAGAATAAACATACTTCAAGCATATGAAAGATTCATTCAATACATGCATAAATGATAAGCTGTCCTATCCAAACAAGAACCAAAAACTCATATGTATATAATAAATCATAAGTACTAATGAGCAATGAGGTTCAATTATCATCATGTCATAACAAAGATTATTCAAGCAATTTCCAAATATGATGAGAACATATGCTATAGTAAAGAACTAATAAAAACATAATTGTTCAATTTAATCCAAATTATTTTAATGCATAACAATGTAGTTAATCTAAGCATATGCAAGTAATCAAACATATATTTATTTCAAACAGAATCACACAAACATATGCAAGAACATTTCAAAATATGTATAGCAATATACCAAAAAAAAAATGCAAACCTTTAGACACAATATGATACATGCTATCTTAATGGACTCAATCAATGAACATATTCAAAGAAATCAATCTATTTACCTCATATCCATGTCCAAAGATTCAAACGAATATTCATGTAATTAAAACTATTAATCAAAGCAATCAAGAACTAGGCATGAATATTAATGAAGGTGAATTAATCAATCCAAACTTTAAAAAAAATATTAAGATAAATTTTATCAAGTAGCTTGGTGATTAATTTGTGCAATGTGTTCATATATTCAATCACAAAATTATATATTTGCACATATTAAAACAAGCATGTATATGTATTCAAACTCATACATCATATCATAAAGTTGATACATTTACCTTCATCCATGTCAAGCTTTGTTGTTGTGCTCATTTGACTTTGAATTCTCCAATCCACTTCATTTGAAAAAAACTAGGCTTGATTGATAATGATGACATGCTTTGCTTGTTATACTTGAAATTCAAAAAATGTAGGTTCATTTATGCTCATTTTAAGTTCTCTTAGTATAGACTTAGAAAATATTCTTGACAAAGGATTTTCATTAGAAGCATCAAGAAAATCAATTGATAAAAATTATACAAATTGTTAGAAAAACAATTTCATATTCTAAGTCATTATAGGCAAAAGAAAATTTATTTACTAAGCATAAGTTACCAATTGCAAGGGAGATATATACTTAAGCTAGAGGTCATATATCAAGTTGAGCATCAAATATCACAATGTTGTCACTAAAGCTAAAGTTCTTATGTAATGTGCAAAATATGAATCCTTTTCTAGATTATTTAAAAATATTAAACACAAAAAAGACATAATCAATATTCAAATATATTCAATAAATCACCAAAGAATATGCCAAAATAAATTTTAGGTCATATTAAAACTAAAAACTCAAGGAAGATATATTTATCAGCAAAAACATATTCAAGAAAATTTTTAACACAAAAGCATAAATATGTCTACATAAATTATGGGCCATAATCAACAATGACTTAAGCAAAAAATAAGCATCATAAAAAATTCATTTACTTAAGTCATGTTGCAACAATGTCAAGTCAAGAAAGATCACATTTATCATATATGCACACACTTGACAAGAACAATAGATGAACCAATAACACATCATTTACAATCTACTAGTTCATCATATTCAAAATCACAAATTAAGAGATATATCAATTGAACACAAGATCCAAAATATTTCACAAAATTAATGAATCAATTTAGCACAAGAGCAAGTATATTTAAAAATATTTGAAAAATAAAAAAAATTTAAGTATTTTCAAATCATAAGTATTAAGGTCAATTAAATCAATCATCATATGAGCACATATCTTGACCAAAAAATATAGATGAACAAAGAATCAATATATACCACTTAAGCATAAGGTGTTCATCAATTCACAAATCAATAGTTATAACAATTTAAAAATAAAATAATCAAGTTTTAACAATATTTCACAATATTCAAGCATTATAAACAAGTTAGGCAATTTTAAACATCATGGTCATATAAGCATGTTTAACAATCACAAATCAATAAAAAATTTATCAACAAAAGTATACTCAAGCAATTTAACACCACAAACAATTTTAACAAGTATCTTAACATACTTAAAAGCAAAATAAATGCATATTGAATGCAAGCTCACATTTTCTCAAGATTATGCAACATATGTCTTGTAATCAATGTTAACCAAATTTTGCATAATCAATCAAGCATTCAAATTTCATCAAAAATAGGTAACTAAATTCAAA